CAAACGTTTGTATTTTACAAAATGTATAAACATCTTTACAAAGAAGCAAATACAAAATTTAATCCGTGAATATGATAAAATAGGCCCTTCCTGAGCATATTCACAGATTAAATTTATATTTACTTCTTTGTAAAGATGTTTATACATTTTGTAAAACACAAACGTTTGATGACTTTAGATGTTATGCACCATACTAAAAATTATTTTTATTCTTTTACCATGTTTAATTTTTAATTATGACATTAATGTGTTCTTTATGTAAATTTAGTTTATACATTAATCTTGGGATACGTATTTAAAAAGAACTTCTTGACATGTATCAATCCTCAAAACATTACTCAAGATCTAATTGTTGTAACTTTTGGTTATTTTGCGTGACTCATTCCGAAGATTTCGTTTCACCGCCTCCAAGAAGTACATAATTACCGTATAACTATCGTTATGTGCTCTGAACAGGCTTTAATGGAAGAATAGCTCATTTACTAATTATGAGAATAAGTTTGCTTTATATGTAATCCTTTTTTAATTCATTTTTTCTTGAATACACAGTGACCGTCGATATAAGGATCTCTAAAAAAAATTTAAACCTAACTTTACCTCAAAACCATTAATTAGGTTTACTTTAAATTTTCTAGAGTCGTTATATCGATGGTCACTGTGTAATATGTCCGGATTACTGTACGTATTTTTCTTGATTAATTTATCATTAAGATATTAATCGAGTTTCGTATCGGTATACTGTATCAAAAACAAAAAAATATCGATATGCCTTACAAACTTAACGTTGAGTTCTTATCGTTATGTAAAATTGGTCCATGCAACTAGAAAAATACTGAATTCAGTATCGTTGAATTTTAGCACCAAGATAACTTGTTTTACAAGTATAATAAATTCGCCTAGCATTACATCATTTCTATATTCCTGTTTATTAGCATATCGATTTAATCAAATTAATATTTTATTTGATAAAATTTTGGAGATAAAAGTTAATAAAGAAATTTATATTTTTCGAGTTGCTGTAAGATTATTTCGCTATTAAATAAAACGAGTTTATAAATAAATTTATGCGGTATTTATTAGAGTGCGTCTTCTATAAAGTACACATGTAAATTTGATTTATTAAGGTTATCGTTATAAACTCAAGAAAATTTATACTAAAAGGTTTATATTCTATATATAATTCTATTTATATTAACGTAATTGGAAAATAATATACGTACGTAGCAAAATTTATGGTACAAATCATGATTTAGAATTAAATATAATAACTGAAGTATACAACTAATATATGGTGGAATTTAATTTATCTAAATTAAACAACATTGTTTCACTTATAAATGGGAATTTAGTTATTTCTGAGATCATGGGCAAAAATTGCAAGAAAAACCAACAAGATTCCTAAAGTAAGCTCTTATTTTTTATATAACAAACACCATTTTAAGCTATTTTGTCAGGTTTCAGTGCACAATATATTTGCTAAAACAGCTAGTTATCTTCCTTTGAATATATTATTAAAGATTTTATCTCTTACTGCAAAACATTAAACTATCTGTTTTTCGAAAACAGATATAATATTTGCATTTATTCCTTCTAGGGTTATTATCAATCATCACACTATGTCATTACGAGTGCCCTGGTTTATATATTAAGAGAATTGCTCGAAAACAAAAGTAATTCCTTTTCTTAGTAGAAAGAACATCTCATTGACGAATATCACGTGATCACTACTTTAATGTTTGGAGCAACAATACCAATACGGAATACATGTACATACGTACGTAACCTGAACTATCACTTCGTGTAAATCTCAATGCGATGCTCCCTGGAAACAGTATTGCTATTACATGTATTCAGTACAAAATATAAATACAGTATTTAAACTTTGTTATTTCAACGTCGTGTCGTATCTTATTTAAAAACCCTTCTATCCAAACATTTAACTTTACAAAAGAAAAATGAATTTATTAAACTATAAAATTACATTTATTATGATTATTTTATTTTCATTCTTTGCAAATGCAGATGATGATGTATTTAGTCCTATTATACGTTATGGGCATACTGCAAATTATTATGAGAATGACAAAAAAATTTATTTTTTGGGAGGAGTAGATCGCAATAATAATACTTTGGCTGATTTCTTTACACTTGAAATATCAAACATCACAGCTCCAAAATTTGAAATACTTTATCCTTCTACTTCTCCCAAGATAGCTTTTGCAACCTCAGTGATAATTAGTTCGAAAATTTATGTATATGGAAGTTCTGATGGCAAAATGGTAATGATTCATCTTCGTATTTTCAGTAATACAAAAATAAAATTTCACAAAAATTGTTTTAATTTAAAGTTGAATCAAGGCTTCTTGATTGACATATCGATATCGAGTAAACCAACTTGGAACTCCCTTAATATACCAGCTTATCTACCACCAGCTCAAGCACTATCGATATATACGAATAAGATAATCGGTTCATCTGGGGACATTTATATTTTCACTATTCAATCAGACCGACCGAAAATGCTACGTTATGATACAAATACGGCAATGGTGGAAGATTTGGAAATCAACACCACCGTTGACCTCAAAGGGAATGACCGATCCAAAGTACCAAGTTCTCATTCTACTGCTACATATTTTGGAAATTCCATAATTTACATAGGCGGTAAATCTTTAAGTAAAACCTTAATACCAATGAATCAGGTTTTTATATCTTTAATTAAATTTTTCGCTTTTATTTGTTTCAAATGATTCACTAAATATATTATTGCTAGATTTTGATATACAATATTTCGGATCATAAGTTGATCTTAAAGGTAAATTTCTTTGTTTTCAAATATATAAATCATGCCTTATCTTCTAATTCTTTATAAATTTAAAGTCTGTTACGAGTACAGACGACGTAGTCGGCCGATATGGGCATTCAGCATGCTTAGGTAATTTAAAATTGTTTAATATAATCTTAATATTATAATGTTATTAAATATTATTTTAAAATTTAAAGTGCAAAATAAAATCATCGTTTATGGCGGACTTTCGGAAAACGAACAATCTCTCGATTCTAATAATGCTTTGGTAATTCTGGAGATAAATAACGACAGTTACAGTTGGCGTACAGAAAAGATACCAAATAATCAAATTATTCCTTATTATCATACTGCAACAATTAACGATATTTATATGATCATTGCATTCGGTAATCTTCTTTTCAAAAAAAATATTTGTTGAAATAAATCGAGTCTAATCGCACTTTTTTCTTTTGCTTAGGGAAAGATAGCAAGGGTGATAAGTTAATTGGAGATGACTCACTAGATAGTAAATTATCAAATGCACAGCATACCAAGAGAGGAACGTCAACTGGAGGAAGTGCATCGGATACAAATTTTATTTCGATTCTTAACGTAAATAATTATGAATGGGTAACTTCACCTAATGAAGAAACAGTATCAACAAAACCAGATTCAAACACGCCTGGCTCAACTCAATCCTCTGGTTCAAATTCGACAACCACATCAATGCCATCTCCGAAAAAAGGATCAAATATTGGCAGTATAGTAGGTGGTATCATAGGAGGAATTTTAGGTGCTGCTCTTTTAGCCAGCCTTGTATTTTTCTTTTATCGTAGAAACAATACAAGAAAACGCGGAAATTCCGAAAGTTTCCACGAATTAACAGCTTCGACGAGGCAAATTTCAACCCAACAATCATCAATTCCACCAGCTCCAACTTCCCGATCACTCCCATCAATCCCATGGGTGAGTCCACTGAAGCCTAACCCTTCAATTCAGCCATTGCAAGCTGAACAATCCGCCCCAGTTATGTTGACCCTTCCGTTAACAAACCTAAATATATCAGAGTTGTCTTCGGTTGAATCTCGTCAGCCTCTTGATTCGAGTAGCTCGGCTCCATCTCTTTTAAGTATACCGTTAGTTAGCTCTAATCCATCATCACCATTTTATAAATATGATGATTAATATTCGAGTAATTAACGAAATGCCCGTTAAGAATTCAGGGGTGATAAATTGTTTGGTACCCGTAGTTTTATCGGATATTTTGTGCTAGATTTTTATCGTTATGGTAATAAGATAAAAAGAAAACCGGTTATTATTATTATTATTATATATACTTGAATGGTAAAAGAAAGCACACTATGAAATGTGGTGTGTTGTGTATGACTAGTTTAGGCTGGTATGTGCAGCATTGTTTATGCGTCGTATGTAAAAAAAAAAAGAACTTCATAATACTGATATTAATACATATTGTGTAAACATGATGTTAAAGCACAAAAAAATGTGCTCTTATTTATAATTTCTAGAATTCTAATTAAAGTTAATGTTAAAATTTAAATCAGGTGCTTTCTTTAAAAGGGTTCATTGTAAATTGATTATCGTTATCAATTTTTCTGTCACGGTGTCAATACTGTTAACGTTAACATTATAAAAAATTTTATTACATTATTTACTAAAGTACATGTACAATGAAATATTACATTAAATAAAGATAAACACGTGTCAAGCGCCCCACCCACATCCAGCATTCTTTTCAATTTAAAAAACCAATCACGGTGAATGCAATCGAAGTCACTTGTCCAACAACTTTTAAGACTTTCCACAACTTCTCCGTCCTTTCTTTGGTCATTTTCTTCCGAAGAGATGAGAATTGAAGTAATTGAAATTCTTTTTTTTGATTTTGTTCTTTGACTTCTTCCATAACCTGTCTATTCTCTTGTTGAACCTGCTCAATTTGAGATTGTTTTATATTCGGCTGTTGCCTCACGCATGTCCAAAGTTGTTCTAGCTTGTTCTGGTATTGTTTCTCTCGTTCCTTGGTTTTTATTTGCGCGAATATCAATTGCAGATCTGTTTCTTGTTCGGGTGCTACGGCTTCGAGTAGTTCTTTTTCATTATTAGATATTTCAAGTAGTCGTAATGTCGTTTCCCAGGATATGTGATTGCTTTCTCCTAAGCGCATAATCAGTTCTTGGTATTCTGTTGATACATATCGTTGTAATACGCGTACGGCCTCCGGCCCTGGAACCATTTTCCAACTAAAGTCGAAATTAAAGTCTTCGAGTGCTTTCAATAACACAGTTTCGTTCTAAATTTACGAATAACATGAATGCTAAATACCGTATTCAAACTAAAAGAAAGCGTGCGATCCAAGTAAATAAAAATAATAATTACCATCACATCATATTGCCGCACTAAATGCTTTCTCCAAGAAGCGTCAGCGATATTCTTATTAAATTGCTCCAAAGCTCTCGAATTTTGCTTAACATATTCTTCTTTAGCTTCTTCAATATCCTCCGAAAATTCTTCTTCGGTCGCTTTAATATGTGAAGCCGTACCCAAAATCTTATCAAAGAAAATTTTTTGAGCTCGTTTTAAACATTCTGCATGAGCATCACGAAAGTCCGTCCATTTGATAGGATCTCGAAGATTTTCTTGCATCCCTTCTCGGTAGATTCTTATAGCTTGTTTGATCGCTCGTTGGCCAACGTATCTAGCCACTGACACGTATTCGCTTGGGATCGAGAGACACATGTTGTTTTCCGGTTTATTCATTCGCGCTACACAATCTGCCAAAAATTTTGCAAAGGCTGAACCAGACATCGCCGAAGCGCCGATATATTTTGGATTGAGTGTTCGGAATATCGTGTCAATTGTTTGGCGTATATCCGAAATGAATTGTTGATTAAATTGATCACTTTTAACACGCTCTAAATTTTGCAAACTTTCCCCATGAATACCAGGATGCTAATAATTAAATTTTTATATATACTTTAGAAAAATTTGCGATATTCTTGTGCAGCAGCAAATTAGAAAAAAAAAATAATCACCGCAATCGGATGAACTTGAAAATTTGAGAAAAATTCATAAATTCCTTGGGCGGCTATCATAAAAAAAGATCAATAAATGAATGAATTCACACTGAAATTTGATAAAAATTAAATTATAGTCACCTTCGAAGTTGACCATGGCTAGCCTATCAATAAAGTATTGACGAAAGTCCAAGTTATTACGTTCCAGTTCGAAATCACGCAACAACAAAACGAGCTGCGGCAAAAATTGACAATTTTCCGGTGGTTGAATATACTTCGTAAGATCTTTCATTAAGAAAAGTTTCTCGATATCATTTCGTTCGATTACCCCGTTGATATTATATATGAACGTTGATGATATAGCGAGACATAGAACAAACAATTTTGTTGCCCAATCATAATCTTGTTGTGGGTCGTTTATTCCTTCACAATCCAACAATATTATTCTGCTTCCATTCACGTAGAATGGAGTATCCCACATATCAATACCATTTGTACAACCAACTACTTGTGAGCCAAGAGAGAATCCGTCATGACGACCAAGTAAAAGGTTGGCAAAGAAAGATTTTCCGCGGCGATATGCACCCGCTTTTATTTGGGTTTTTTTGTTTTGAAATGTAAGTAAAAGTTTATTTTGTCAACCAGGCCAGGTCATTCCGTTACCAAACTTACCAACAGCTATTATAGCAACCGGCTCATTGATACCTTCAATAATATTCAATGCCAATTGATTTAATTTTATCGTCCCTAAATTTGTAGAAGTACCCGGTTCGTACTTCATTAATTTTATTGGAGATCCTTTTTGCAGAGGAAGGCCATAACCAAAAGGATTTCCTTGCATCTTTTTTATGTTTTTATGAGAAAATGAGAAAATTTTCAATTTATTGATTCGTATGATTTTTATAGCAATAAGGAAACGTGTGGCGTAGTTTGTGCTTTTGTGTTAACGTTAACAAAAAAGTCAGTTATGATTTTGTATTTGGTATTGTGAAACGAGATGAGACATATCAGAGATCATTCCGTCATCTATCGCTATTGGTGCGAGAAAGCAATGCTACACTACAATAAGGAAAATTTAAAATTTAATATTAGCGTTAGCGTTAACTTTAAAATCTAACTTCGAGATTCGAGTTCTTACGTTTGTCCGATTTCTGAATTTACAGAATTAACATGCTATCATATAGTAAAGAAGTGAAAACAATTTCAGTAAAAGGTTTTTCAAGCTTGAGGTAATATGATGTCGTAATATTATCAATGCAATTTGAAACAAATATCTTGTTTCTGTTTTTCTTGCTTAGTACGTATACTCGAAACATTTCTAATAAATCGATTAAATTGATTACAAGATTAAGCTCTATAATCCTTACTTTGATAATAGAGACTCAAAATCGAGTATTTGCGTATTGAACAAGATATTCGTCTCGCGCTCATTATCGTCATAATGGCATGCAGCAATAAATGTACATGTATAGTAATACATGTGCAGTTTTTTCTACATTGCACCTGATGCTTTACGGAATAAACTAACTTTTTTTGGTTCGACAAATAATAACCAGTAAAATGTATTGTCGGATCAAACAAAGAAGACAGGCAGGTTTTTTTTAATATGGCATACCGATACTTGTCCTACTAAATACATGTAATGCTTGTCTGTGTAATTCTTCCCGCGATTTTCTTTTTTTCCTTTGAGGGACAGTTCTTGGAAAACACGGACAAGAAATCTTTTGAGATAATGGAAAACTGGAACCTCATGTCAAAGACTTACCGAGAAAGATTGCTGAGAACAACATCATTGACAGCCTATTCCTAATTGTTCTTATTATCAAAAGTATTTCAAATGACATTAAATATGCATCAGAGATATATAGTACAAAGTTATAAATTTTGTTCTAAAAAGACTAGTGCAAAATCGAAATAAATTAATGAAATCCCGAAATCAAGCTTACAAATGGTTTTTATCTTTAAATAGAAATGAGACAATAAGCGTTATTTGCTTTTGATCATTACTTTTCAGGGAAAGCGAAACAAAAACTAAATGGAAGCCTCGAGCTTTCAGTCCAATATCATTACCCATGATTGGAAATTTGAAAAACAATGTGTCTAAAATATGGTCATATCGATATATATAAAATACATCTTAGAAATATTACGTACATGGATTGTATGATTAGATTTGTTGGTAATACGTACATGTATTCCATTTAATAGGAATTTGGTTTGTGTAAAAGTCTACCACATGACATGAAGGTTTGATTGTAAAATTTGGAGCTATTAATAGGAGTCTATAAGTCTGTGTAATCTACAGTTATTTTTACACAATGTGACAGACTTTTGTATCACATTCTAATTATGTTTACTGACTTGCAAAGAAATCATTTGAACTGCTTGAAGAGCGATCATGGCATAATTTTGATTTCGAGCCTATTGACTATGTGCTAATATACACTGGCTTTGAATAGTCGAACATAAATATATGTCTTTGTGGTCTGATTTCTTTGTTCTATTTGATTATCGAGGCATTTAATTTATTATTTATTTAATGGATTCGAGTCGAATATAATATATGACTGATTTCTTTGTTCGAGTCATTTAATTGATTCATTTAAAATTGTCTGCGCGCCATATTGGTTGCACACATGCGCTTATTCTATTTTTTAATATACGACGATAATTTAAATAGTTTAGTTTTTTTGGGTGATCAGGTTAAGTGGGGGTAAGGATGCTTGCCAAAATCCCTTAATAGCCGCCGAAACTCTACCGAAATATTTCTGGAGGAATTTCGGCGAGCATCCTTAATGGGGGGAGGGAGTTTTAAAAATCCGCACATTATAAACTTTCGAACTGCTGGTGTTCGTAACTCGGCAAAAAAAAAATGCGTCACAATGCATTATTTAGATAGAATCCATATTCAAGTCCAAAATAAGTTGCTCAATTATGATAACTATTGTTTCAAGTTACGATTTTCCTTGGAGTGCAGAAATTTCAAATTCAATGTCTTTACAGACATACCGCATCCATTTATGGTTCTTAGTTGTAACTATAAATGGGTGTGACTATCGCCTTTGTTTGACTAGGCATAAACTAGCGCTAGGACATTTTTTTCTAACACATAATTTAAATTCAATATTTTTTCATGCATCTTCAAAGTTCATCCTGTAAATGTTTAATGGGATTGAGGTCAGGGGAATGTGCTGGCCAATCAGGAAAAGCTTTCACTTTATTATGTGAAATCCAAGACTTTATTACTGGATAGATATTGTATAATACGTAATGATGAGTTTGCAGGAGACCAATTTCATTGCGCAATTGATTTGTCCATGCATATCGAAATTTGCAGCATATTTTTCTTATAGGATAAATTATGGAGCCGACTGTTTATGCCTTGTGAATGCAGACATTAGAACATGAAATAACTTGAGTCATAGACGTAACTAAGTAGCTAGCTACCCTTGACCTGAGAAATGTTTGCACTCCTAATGCCAGCCAAATAATTACGCTTGGACTTTTATAACCTGCCATTAAAGATGTGTCGCTTTAGAGAAATCCTATAACGGAGACTGTTAATCCCGCATTGTTTCTTGGTTAACGGCTTTGTGTGAGAAAAGAGAAATTATGTAAAGGTCACTTTTACAGACATAGAGAAATATATTTTCATGCTTTTTTACAGGTTTCTATCTTTACAAACAACCAGTCAGTTGTCATTTTCATTTGAAACAAAATCTTTTACATACATACACGTGCTCATAGTCTTCATCTATAGAGTTAACTTTAGAGAATTTGGCTTTAATTAGTTCTTTATACTTGTTATTACACCTCTTTGAGATTAACGTTTCGGTGCATTTCAATTATGAATTGTTTTATTTTTTTGATGAGAAATTGGAGTTATTGTGATTGCGCATTTAAATTAATAATTAGAATTCAAATCATCGTTATCTAATAACACTACAACTCTAAACCTGATTCGATTGAAAACCAAAAACAAAGTAGCGATTTCAATAAAGCCACACACAAAAATAATTGAATTGTGCTTTTAACCAAACAGCTTGAATGCCGTAAGATTAAAATTGCGTATCCCGAAATACCACGAGGAATTTGTTCAAAAAGTAGTTGAACTAAGAGTATTCAGCTAATTATAATACGACGCAATTTCATTTCATTAATGAATATATGACAGAAAGCCAAAAATTGTACGGCCTGATGGATAATAAAACTCTGCTTTTTCTTTTATATTTTTGTTTGTTGAAGTAACAAAATACCTAACAGAAAAACTCTGAACAAAAAGAATCCCGCGGTAGCAAGCAAATAAGATTATACATAACGATAAGCTAGTCATCGCTAAATCGCATACTCGTTAAATCGAGCCCTGTAAAAGCTTCTAATTTTTGATGATGCATTATGTTTTCGGAAAGCATATCGATGGTTTCCCTAGAATTTTTCAACGACAGAAAAAAAGTAGACACAAACCATATTGGAGAATAAAAAGATTAATAATCATGATAGGATTTGAGGGGTAAAGATAACTGTAAAGATTCCTACTATTAGAAGTAGCTTCGGTGGTGGAGTTAAGGAAGTTACTATTGCTATTCAGTTGTATCCATAAAGTCTTTAGAGACGTTATTTGTTTGTTCTTTCGTCTAACTCGTTTTTCAGAGAATTGATCACGCACGATCCTCCTCATATTGACGTTCTTTTCTGTATTGCTGTATTGCCTGATAATATCTACCCAACTGACCACTCATTGCGAGTCTCTTGCATAGGACAAACTCCCTTCCTTCCAAGACCCCTCACAAAAATATATTTATCCATCAAGTGACGGCCATATGTATATTTTCGCATCGGCGATTAATACATATTGACAATCCTTATTAAGATCTCGACATTGTTTTGGACATAAAAAATTGTATTCGAAGTGGCATACTGTACAAGAAGAAACTCGGTCGAATGTGGCGTGTAACAATACAAATAGTTTTTGCGGATCTAGCATATGATGTGCAAAGTAAATATGATTTCAAGCTCTCGATATCGATATAAAATAAAGATTCATCGATTTAATTTATTGATATATGATAAATAATATTTCTGTACAATTTTTACAATAGTGTTGGTTCAGTAGTAGCGTGTAAATGCCAATCAGCCATTGAGCAAATTGCGTCCATCCTCACTATCCTCACTTCCCACAAAGAATTTTGCACCAGCCAACTCGCCAACCTGTCTTCCATCACGATGATTGAGCCACCGTTCCGAGAATTTTTCACCTTGTTGTGCCGCCAATCGGAACCAATGTATTGCTGCTGCAACATTTGTTGGATTGTATTTTTGCTTGTCGTCTTTTGTTGTAGAGAAAAGATCAAAGTTATGGGTTGAAAATGACGAGGAAGTGAGAACGGGGGTTGAGGTAGATAGCGCACTAAAACTGCCAAATATTGTCGAATTAATACTAGTGACATGTGTATGCTGATGCGATATTTTTCCATTGTTTGTGGGATAATAAAGTGAAGGCGGTGGTGATGAGGAACGAGGAAGAGTCGGTAGAGAAAGATAGAGAATAGCGAGCTCACGTTGTGCAATAGGATTAGATTCTTTAGCTCCTAAAAGAATATTAAATTAATTAGTTAATTAAAATACGAATAAATCAATCAATCAATCAATCAATTTACCAATAGTAAAAAGACGAACAGCTTCCATTTGTGTTTTCATTTCCGAATCTTCCTCATAGAAATTTTCTACGAATAGTTCTTCATTTTCTTTCTCTGCTTCCATTCGCATGAGAGTATCACGCTTGACGATACCTCCATCCATAACCTTGATACCACGTTCAACCACCTTTTCCACTACCTCTTTCTTTAGACTAGAAACCGCTAAGCTCATATCCCAGAAAGCTTTCCCTTCATCACGAAGATCAAGAATCACGCCAGGCACAAAAGTAGCAATTAATTGCATATCACGAAACAAATTTTTTGGGCGAATGCTAGATTGACGAAACAATCTTTCAAGTTCATTTACTATTGAATCTGTTCCAGGTGTCACAGCTTGAGTGGAAGTAATGGCAGTAAGTAACGGAGAAGCAATGAGCATGGGCGATAAAGGGGCCGAAGTGGGTGTTGATAGAGCTGATGACAAGTGAGGCAAAGGAGGTGCGAATGATAGTGAGGCGACAACTAACATTTCAATGGCGAATAACGCGTGAAGTTTTTGATAGGGAGAAGATAAAAGCGTAAATTCTTCCATTAACGATTGACAACATTTAGTGAAAGGATATTCAACAATAGGTTGACATGTTTGAGAATTCATTTCATTATTAATGTTAGGAATTCTTTCATTGATCGTCGATTTCGGTGGAATAAAAGGTGATCTTTCAAGTGCATCCGCTAATTGTGTCTCCGTAGATTCAGTTTCAGTTATTGAAACTTCTGATGCTATCGGGATATCTGGAGTTGATAGATCAAGATTTGCGATTTGAGTAGTCAATGATTCGAAATTTTTAGATGGAAGCTTTGGAATATCAATGCCTTTTCCTCCTAAAACATCTTCATCTTCATCCTCATCTTTTCCTTTAATCAATATTCCATTCTTTAGTTGTCCAACAATAACTTCTTTTGGTGTACCAATATCATCAATAAACTCTTCGAACCATTCATCTGTCTCACAACCACCATACCAAGCTTTTCCGAATTCACTTAGTAAAAGTCCAGTCAGTTTCAATTGTGTTTGTAAAGTAAATTCATCCATAGTCGATGATGTGGAACTAAAGGATGATCTTCCAGAATCTCCGCCAATTGAGACCTCCCGATTTCTCTTAGCACCAATTAGAAAAGATGGTGGTAAATTCATTGGAGGAGTATAAAGTTCATAAGAAGGCAATAGTCCATCAATTAAATGCTCTCTTAATCCTCGATTCAGTTGAGGAGTAGTAGTATCAGTAGTCTGACCTTCGATTACATTATACAAATTGGCCGAACTTAATCCAAGATTACTACTACTACTCCGTCTAGGTATACTCCTATTTAATAAAGTACCCAGTCCACTGGCCACTGTCGGTCCACTCCCAACTGTTGCAACACTTCCGCGTCGCTCTCGTTTGGGCGTATTTAAACTAAAAACATCTCCAAGACTATTCTGTCGCCGTATTGCTTCCCCGCCATGATATGCATATTGATAATTAACCGGATTATTGTTAAAAAGTTGATAATGCAGTCCGCTATATCTTTTATTCTTTTCTCTTTCCTCTCTATTGATAAAGTATCCCATCTTGAAAGCCATTGCCTCCTTTCGAAACAAATCACTAGTCCATAACATTGTCTGCATTATATTAGCGCGAATTGCATTAATCTCTATGCAATAACGATGAAATCTTTCTTCACAAGGGATGAAATTATATACGCCAGTTTCATGCAACCATCGCGACACAACTTCTGAATCGTGTTCGGACAATGGCGGTGGCCATTCTTCAAATGCCTTTGAGGTTGTTTTATGTTTATTATTTGCAACTCCAGAAGAATTCGATTTTTTCATGCATTTTGAAAGTTTGTTGGATGGTAAGGAAATTTCATTCAAATTAATCTTTGATTTTTCCAGAATTTTCGATGTTCGAATTTCCGACGTGTACCACATTCGCAACCTTAAAGAGGACAACATATCACGTTTTTGAGATAAACATTGAACTAGTCGTATGTGAACTTCATGTGCATATACAGCCCAATGTCGTCGTTTTTGATGTCGCATATGCCGACGGGACTGAGCACGTCGTAAAGGTGTAGCTAAAAGTGCAATAAGACCCGCAGCATTGTTGTGAGTAAGATGACGTGGCTGATGCAATAGTAAAGTAAGCGCTTGATGATATGCAAGTGCAGCAGCATAATCTCTGTGTGATTGTGCAGTTTGAATTGCTTTAGAAAGAAGTGATGAAATTGTAATAGTGGTCGGTGAATTTCCATGAATTTTTCTCGTGAAATGAAATGTTTTTGCTGATTTGGTATTTGGTGATGTGGATAATTCTTCTGGGTTTTGTTTTGGTTCATTTTGTTTTGATTCATTTTCTACGCTTGAGTCTTTATTACAGTGTACATTGTCAAATGCACCGACAAAATCATATTCTCTAAGAATGCGAAATAAAGCTCGCCCTATTGTTCTTACTTCTTCGGTCAGTAGTTCGTTCAATTCGTCTCCGTCATCAAATTGCATATCCAATTCTAGATCAGAAAGTTCACCACTACTTCCATATGTGCCTAAATGGCCCCGAACGATAGGTGTAGTCACCGTCAATTGGTTACTCTGGGATGTGTCTATTGCTAATGAAGGATGCGACAGTAAAATTTCAGTGCCATCACGTGAAACATATAACAAAGCCCACGGTTCAGCAGAAGGATGCGCATTAGGCTTAGATCCAGAATGTTTTGTAATTTCATCGATAGTTTTTTTCATATCTTCGTAGATTTGTGGTATTGGTTCATTGTCATCAACTAAACTCGAAGTTCGTGAATGGCTGCTTCGATGTATGGGACTGTGATTTTGTTCCGAGTTGTTAATATTCAAGCCATTAGGTGATGCCATCATCTGCACATCAGTAATACACGAAGATTCAGCACTCGAGCTAGAAGATACTGAACTTGTATCACTGTTTGTTGGGAAAAAAAGTGAAGAAGCAGCAGATATTTTTTCATCCAATGCCAAACTTAATATGGAAGAAGGACGAGGTGAATTTGTACGCGATTGGTATGCACTTCCGTTATTCCATTTAGAAATTTTTGGAGACATGTTTGGTCTTGACACACGCTGCTGAGGACGATATCGCGGACACAGGAAGTAAAATAGTGTCGTAAGATCGGATGGACATAGCAATAAATTCGGGGTAATTGTGGAAGGATACTGTGATATAGAAGGGTAAGGTGTTCCAGCTGCTGATTTTAAAGCAGGAGTTGCCATCTGTGGTACTTTTTATTATTTGATTGATTGAATTGCTATTATGTTGAATTAAGTAATGTTATGTTCATGAGGGAATAAAATTTCAGAAATTTCAAACTCACTTGATGATGGTTTTTCATTTGTTTCCGGATAATTTGTATCGTTGGAAAACCTCGTAACTATTTTTTCCACTAATTTTTTTATTTTTTCGTCGATACGGATTTCCTTACGCGCCCTTTATCAATAATAAATACGAGTCATTTAGATCATTGGATTCTACGGTAAGCATATTTGGTTTTTAACCTACCACTCGGGAACGGCATCTGTTATTCCAGTGATATAACGATACAATCTTTGCTGTATCATGAATAAAATATGTCTTCGTTGAGTCTCCGAGACATAGTACTCTTCAAACATTCCATAATGCTAATTAGAATCACGCATTCGGATTAATAAACACGATTTTTTTTCAAAAGGTAAAAAAAGGATTAAAATGCAATGCGAAATTAAACCTCTGGGTAAGTAATAGCCCGTCCAATAAAACGATGAAAGAACCATTGCACTATTAAAAATACGCTGGCATGACGACGTGATTCCTCCGGAACTTGATTCAATATAGTTCTCGATAAAATCAAGACACGTGCCGGAATTACATCTTCACGATCTAAAACTTGAAGTAATCCTATGCACGCATTATCAAGGTACTTTTCAATGTCTATATTTTGATTTTCGGATGTAAATGTTTTTCCGTGTTTTTTTTGTGATGATGATGATGATGATTCATCTTGTCCGGCAGCAGCTTGCTCAAAGGTCGATGCTGTCGGACTAGAAATTCGAGAAGTAGCATTGTTCATTGATGTATTACCATTGTTGTTATTACCCCCAAGTATCCCAAAGAATGGCAATGAGAATGCAGTATAAGATTCATCCTTTGGGATCTGTTCATTCGTTGCACTTTCGAGTAAAAGATCACCTTGTTGCAATATCTTCATTAATTGCATTTCAAATGCTCGCTTTGCGGTCCAGGGTGACAAATGTACATATCTATCCAATACATCCAATAAAAATTTTTCACCTTTCTTATCTGTGATGAGTTTCACAAAAATCGCCGTCCACATGTTTAATCGTAATCGATCCTCCTGCGGAAAGGTAGATGGCCCAAAGATTCCCTTGAGCAATAGATCAACTATATCTAATTGATTAATATTCGGGATATTCTGTCGGCTATTACTGTTATTATTTGACAATGTAAATTTTTCGGTGATTGATAAATTGTCCAAATCCGGTGGCGACATTTGTTGAAATGCGCTGGCCACAAGCTCTGGGTTCTGTCTCACAAAAGAAACGAATGCCAACACTGTCTTGCTACATTTAAAACTAATATAATCCAAAAAACTAGATTTTGGTTGTGGAGCAGCAAGCGCGTATTCAAGAATGACATCTTGTCTATCTTGTAAATAGTTATATGCAGCGGCGAATTCTGCACGCTGTTCGTTCTTAAACAGATCGTGTAAATGCGCGTAAGACGCATTCATTGATTGATAAACTCGCGTGGCTAAAGCAATACCAAGTAAATGAGTATGTAATTGTAATGATTCACGATAATCGTCTTGTCTCGAAAATCTGTCTAATAATAGTAGATAACGAAGTCCATAAATATCAAGCGGTGCATTGGTATCAATCAGATATGATTCATCTTGATCATCTAAAGATGGCGACGCGGTAGGTTTATGATGATATAAGGAAGCGAAAAATCCACCACCACCTCCTAAGCCATTTGATACTTTACTACATGTAAAACACCTGCATGAACAATAATTCCCTCCTCCTATGCCACTAGAACCATCAAGTCCTCCTCCATAACCACCATTCGGTTCAGGGTTCGAGGGAGAAAGCGGAGCGGCCATAAAATTTAAGATTTTATCAAAACCGAGACTAAAAGTTTTTTTTGCTTTGGTTTTATTATTATTGATGTTTGTCGATGGAGTGGTTGTTGATGCTACTGATGATGGTATGTTTGTGGAAATGTTCGAAGAAGTTGATAATAATGAAGCTTGTGCTGCATTTGCGGCCGCTGCTTCTTGTTGTTGTGACTGCTGCATTCAGAGCAACGTGCTTCAATGAATAAGGATAATCAAGTCGACTTTTTTTGGATAAGAATCGAAGCTAATTAAAAAAAAAAGAATAGTTCTCAAATTGAGAAGGTTCAGATCAGCGTATCTTCTATAGAAAAAAACCTGATCAATTACTTGACACTGCGCGAACAATTATTTAATAATAAATAATGATGATATTTCCTGCAGCGTGCGTATTTGTTTCAATAAATCCAAACTATCCCTCGTGAAGTTAACAATAATAGAATAAATGAAATACCGACGGATAAGAATAACTGCTATAAAGGGAAAAAACGTGGTATGTATATACGGAAGCTAAAATGTAGAGTCGTAAATAGGGGTGAAAAGGGGCCAGTTGTGAGCTTGAATAAGGAGTTATTATCTCTAATATCTATTATCTACTATCTTAAGATATATATATATAGAACTCACTTTGGAATCAAAGTCTTGTATAATTTATTATTACGTGCGAGATATTGCGACTTTATTCGTTCGTCATAACTTGTAAAGTAAAAATTTTCGCCTAATTAATTTAGCTAATTGTATAATCTTTTAGCTCAGTTAAACTAATCTACATTATTGAGAAAACGCAACACTAAGAGATAAAAGTGGAATTTACTTTAACTTTATAGAACAGATCAAACGCACGCGAGCACACATTCTGTCACAAAGTAGCACGATTTTTGTTGAGTGACGGACAAAAAAAAATTATTATGCGGCTAAATGTGATGGAAAGTAATTAAAGCAAAAAAAAAATAAGGGTCCCGTCTCAGATATTTCCTTTTTCAGCATGAATGCATTGATAATGAGCATGAATAACCAATAAAATCTGCATTTATAGTAAACCAAATTCAGGTGGTTTCAATGGTTCGGGCGTATATGCTTGCTGCGCCTAAATGGAATTGATCCGAAAGATAATTTAAGCAATAAAACACGTAATAAAACATCATAATAAAATGTGAGCGCCATTCATTTTTCTTTGTTGTTTTTCACTTGTTATTTCGATAATAACAAATAATAGAGCACTTAGGTCAAACGAACGCCACTCATACTGGTATTCCTGAAATGTGTGTGTTCATTAGGTAAAAACTGAATGGAAATTCGCGAGCACTATACAAACATTCCAGTCGAAAAGCAATACAAAAATAAATAATCAAAAGTTTATTACGGTTAATGAAAGACAATGCATTTCAGCTTTTCTTAAATGTAATCATTTTTTGATGTAAAAGAAATATTGGAAATAACAAACCTTACCGCCTCTTCGCTTTTTTTACCACGCTATTTACTACGCTATCTCGAGAATCATTGTCATTATCTTTATCATTATTGCTGCTGTTATTGTTATTATTAATATTATCATCATCATCATTATTATTATTATTATTATTATTATTCTTGCTGTTGTGATGGATAGAATTTGATGACTCATCTACACGAGGAAGCCTCCGTTTGCCATTCATTGCTGCATCTTCATTAAATGTGGCGTCATCCTTTTTTGTCCAATTATCTTCTGTGCCATCGTTTGACCAACTTTGAAATTCTGGTGAATTTGGTGGCCATTCATCTTCGGCTTTTGGAAGTGTCCAGAAAGAAGAGAACTCCATTGTCGGTGTCTTTGTTATATAATCCTGAATTTTTTCCGTTTGAATGCCTATAGATTTCGAAGTTCGGTTCTCTATAAATAATAATGCTGTTTAGCATTCTTGCGTATGCATTTCATATTATGAACTAGAGGTATTGCAATTTACCATTATCTGTCTTAACGTTATTTTGTTCCTTGGTGACGTCTTGGATCCATTTATCCCACGATTTTACAACGATTTTCCCCATCGATTCTGTGACCCCTTTACTCTTTCCTTTCTGATACTTTGATCCACCTTCGATAAATTTCGAGAAAAACTTCGATTCATTCAAAACACCCTCGACTAGTTTTGCACGCTTCTTCTCTTCTTTTAATGTCAACCAACAATTTGAATCATCGATCCAAGAGAAAAATATGTTGCCGTATTCCTCGAAGATAGCAAATAAAGCTTGTTGATTCGTCATTGGCGGGATATTAGAGAGCAAGAAGGAGTTTGGCTTTGCTGGTGGCACTTTTTATTGAGGTGATCATTAAAGATGAGTTCGAATGTCATAATCGTCATATAGTGTAGAAAATTTACTTACATCCATCATCTCCCACCAAATTTAGATATCTAAAATCTGATCTGAGCAAATGTAGTTTATTATAGAACTTTGTAAGCTTTTCTGAAGTCAAATATAATTTTCGAAAATCAATTTCAACTTTATCTGTTGAAAGTTTTTCGCTCTCTTCTTCTATTTCTGGTTGCGGAGAATCTTCAAAGAAAGAAGCGTATACATCGATCTTTATCTCTAAAGACAAAAAATAACTTGGATGTGAATATTTTTAATTAGGACAAAAAGGTGATTTAATTTAAAATTTAAAAGCATACATACCTTTTTCATGTAACATGAATGCAGCCAACGACAGGAAGTTGCATCCGGTAACGTAGGCGTCATAACCAGCTTCATGGCTCAAGGTTTCATCATTAAAGGTGTACCTATTGAATTTTGGATCCAATTCTGTACATCGGATATTAGACGATAATGAATATTATGCGAGATATAATTAGTCTAATCGAACAAAATACGTACCAACTTTTGGGGCATATTCGCTAAATGGAGGTTTCTGAGTTGCTTCCACAATATCTTGAACCCCATTTTTCGGCAAAAGTTTCTAATCATACGCGCATAATAATCAATTTAAATTCATAAATATTCGCAGAAAACTTTGAAGATTTAATTACCTGCAACTTCAGATGAGTACTTGCCAGGTGTTTGGTATCGATAACACTTCAATGAAAATAGCATATATTAATAAATTTGGTTATTAATATAGGAAACAGCAGAATTTTTGATACACTCACGTATCAAACATCCCATGCACTAATTTTTTCCATTCACTCACCCTCTCTGGGATTTCCTCCCAGAATTGATGAATGAATTGGCAAAAATCAAGAAAACAATTGTGACCAATGATAGGCCTCTTGGATTCTACCATCTTTTCAATAACCACTCGAAAATTTATAAGCAGTGCAGCAGTCTATCAGAATTAAGTAAATTATAAGGGTTCACTATACGCATACATACATACATAAATACATAAGAAAGAATAAAATAATCCCTACCTACCTCCTCAAAATCAGCATCGATTTTTTTTTGTCGTTCTTTCTCTGTTAAGCGCTTGAGGCATATAGCCTTTGGCCGACTGTCACCTTCTACAAAGCCATTATACCTATTTCAAAAAATATTAAGCATCCAAAATTTGATTCAATAATTGACAGCGATGAGTCTTCGCATCATACTTTTCTCTAATCTCTTGGAAAATCAAACGTTTTTGGCGAATACTTGGAGTATCCACGACCAATTCTTCTAATTGTGGGTTTTTGAACCACGCTTCTATTTGTTTCCTTTAAATGCCGCAAACATGCAAGATTCATATTAATTAATATGTGAGATTGTGACTGTGAAATATTAAACACTACAAGATAATTACATGGATTTTTCTACGTTTCCTTTGGTTTCCTCATCAGGTGGATTTTCTTAAAGTAATTTAATTAATGAAGAAAATGTATCAATATATGTTATTAAGCGAAAAGTACTAGCATAAATGATTACCAATCTGGCGTTGTGCCAAATTCTCTCTGCGTATCGTCAGCTTAGCCTCATCTGTTCTGTTGATCCATGGTATGCCTGATGATAATGATGAAAATCCAGATCGTGATTTATTATATATCATAAGCCGAAACGTAACAACTATTTATAAGATGAAAATGGCGAATGTATTCTGACCTTTCCCGATTAACTTGTTAAAATCAAATCCACATTTCGAAAGAAATTGAAGACTTGATCCACTAGACAGAAAACATATATCACTTATGTCTTTTCTATCTGCGCTCGGAGGGAAAATGTAAAAATTGAATGGTCGTGCAATAAAAACATTTTTTGTTTCCGAATATGTAAACGTGCATAAACCAAACTGTACTATAAGGAACTATATAATGCGAAATTTTTAGTGTCAAAAATACGCTTTTACATAGCTAAAGAATGGTATTATGTGTGTGTGTATTTGCCTTTGATGCTGCTGCTCGAACTTTACTATATCTTGACTGTGGGTCGTCGAAACTTTTTATCCTTTCTACACGTTCATACAAGCCTAAATCAAATAAATGCGACAAAACGCGTTGAAAGAAATCAATATGTTTGTATCAGAAAACAAGTAAATAAAGGCTGGTGTAGAAAATATTACCAGTAAGTTCTGTGTCAATAGCTATAAAGTCAGATCCGTGAATTGCCTCTTCAATGACTGGCAATAATTCTTGGAAATTATCTTTAAGAACTTCCATTTGGTGAGTTAATGCTTGTTTCTAAATTTTTTATATGTTCAGTCGACTACCAATAGAATGGCTTGCATAGAGCGATACGTAGTATATTTATCAGAAACGTGTTGTGTGACAGCTCTTTTATTAAAATTCCGACTCAAAATCTGAATCGTCATTTTTTTCAATATCTGAGAAGTCGACTTTTATCCTCGGATAAGGAACGTCGCCTTTATTGTTTTTCAGCAAAAGGTTTCAACGTTTGTTTGGCTTATTTTCTGTGAACGTTTGCTTCTCTTACTGTTGAAACATGGCCAGAGGAAAACAAAAGGTTTGTCTTTGGAAAAACTCGGGCGAATACTGAACAAAGATTTGACTTTTGCTCGTTACTTTCATCATCATCGCATTTTTTTCGTGAATAGGAACAAGCTCGGTAAGTTCTTATTAGCTATTTACTAATGCACAAAAAATCAGCAAAATTTTCTATTCATTTTTTTGACATTACAGGGAAAAAGCTCAAAAACAAGCCGAAGCTAGAGCGGGTGGTAAGTCTCAACTTAACGCTCGTGCCGCCGGGTTGCAATTTAAATGCCCCGTTTGTAAGGTATGTAAGAAGCCAACCGCAATAATGAATCTCGTTGATATTCATGAGAAACCTTTCATCTTTTACCAGACTCCCGCAGCCAATTATAAAATTGTGGTTCAGCATATGGAGGTAGATTATTTTTTGTCGTCATGATTCATTTTCTCATCATTAATGTGAACTTGACTAATAATTTTTAGGCTAAACATCCAAGAGATGCTGTCCCAAGTGAGGAATCTTTTCAAGCGTAAGACAATAATGTCAGAATGCACAAATACAAATATATAGAATCCTGAATACCTTTAGGGAGAAGTATGCTTGTTATTTTAGTGTGTGGTTTAGTTGTTATTTTTTAGAGAGTATCTTTAATGGTTCATGTAATTTAATCTATACGACCTCTTCTAAATCAAACACAATAATAAAAAAAGGATGTGCAAAGGTTTATTTACTTCTACGCTTTTATCTTTGATATATATATATATATATTTTGTTAATCTATGGGACAAATTTTTTTTCGAAGAGAATTGATAATTGGTAGGAACAAAGTTAAAAAGTAATCGATTATTGATGATATAAGGTATGATCTCTTCAAAATAAATTCGAGTTGCGCGCATTTCCAAATCAATTAATCAATCGATGCTTTCTTCTTTCCAAAATGACCAATTATTCCACGCTCTCGCTCCATTCCTATTGTGGTCCACTTTCCACCGTAGTCATGCCCCGGTAAAACCACAACTCCATCTTCCAGCTTTCCCAATCTTTCTCTCAAAGTTATTTTTATTTCGCTTAAATTTCCCCCTGGGAGATCAACTCGTCCCATACACCCACACATTAATGTATCCCCCGTGATCAAACGACACCCATTCACCAGTATAGCTTGACTACCTTCCGTGTGTCCTGGCACATGAATAAATCGAAGTATTGTCTTTTCTCCTAGTGATTCTCGGTGTTGACCGTGTGTATGGATAATTCGATCGGTGTATGATTTCAGGGCTGGATTCGCGCTCAATAAATAAGGAATGTCTAGTGGATTGACGTATACTTTGAGATTTGATACTTGTTTCGTGAGATCGAAAAGTCCACTGATTTTTATGGGAATATGATTATACGGTGGTGGCGGTGGACCTAAAAAATGATAATCAATAATTGATTAATATATCATTTGGTATCTACGTAGACATTTTTACATGTAACGGTAATATCGATATGTTTCATACCTCCTACATGATCAAAATGATAATGTGTCACAATAGCACCCATCAATTTCCATTTCTTTGTTTCTATGAATTTTAATATTCCATTAACGTCCCAACACTAAAAATAGCACAAAGTTCAATTAACATCTAAAATGACGCGTTTTAAATAAAAAGATACACGCGTACAGCATCAATCACTACACAATTTCGACTTGCGATGTCCGCAATCACATAAATAATATTCTTTATCTCAATAGCGATCGAGAAAATCTTTTGTTGCACCGGATTAACTGTAGTTGTCATTAGACAAATATCTCGACCGGGAATGAGTTGACAAATCGCAACACCTTGATAACAAAGATATTAATATTGAGATTAATATTATTCCTTGTGATGTGAACGTGCCAGATAATTAAATTACCCATTTCTTGGTCATCTTTCATTATCAATGCATGTGCTATTCGAAGAGGTATTTTTGGATTTGAAGGATCCTTAATCCATCATGAATAAAACTCGGAATAAATTATTAATCCCCACGGATCGCATATTTCATTTGACTCACCCTAAGTCGCGCCTCTTTATAATCCTCTAAAGCATCATCGAAGCGTCCAAGTTCCAATAGTATATCAGCGCGTCGAAAATATCCCTTTATTGGATTTTGAATGTTGAATAGAATAAATATATTCTTTCTTAGAGGTTTTGACTTGAGATATTTCGTACCTTTGACCATTCTGGCCGTAGACGAATCATTTGTCTCGTATCTTTTTCGGCATCGATATACAGTTTATACGCGAAATAACAAGCACTTCTGTTTCCGAATAGCAGTGCTGCGAAATCGGTAGATTTCGAAGGATCCAAATCCGGTTGTGATAATGTTAAAGCTTTTGTGTATTCCTCTATTTTATTTCGTTCCAAAAAATATTCTATGTTTAAATACATGTACTTCATATTTTGTGATACTGCCAACTAACCGATTGCGCAACGATAATTTTTGTTCTCAAAATGTTTGTTCGCGCGGCATACAACCTTGTATACTCTTTCGTTTGGTGCGCAAGATCGTAAAGATGCCGTTGATATCTCTGACATTAATTCTCATTCAAATGTTAGCCTCTATTTGTTTGTGATTTATAAGAATTTATACATCGATAGAATTACAGTTCATAATTTAGCTGCACACAAATTAAACAAACGCGAATTACAAATTAATTAATTAATTAATTGATTCGTGATCCGCGACCGGGTCAGTGAAACAATTAGTAAAAATCGGAATCTACTGCTGGTATACAGTAAAGTTTGTTTTTTTTTTTTTATTAAAATACCAGATAAAATTATACGTATTAACGAGTATAGCATCTTTGGCTGTCCAATTTGAAGAGCGACGTTAATTTATAGGTATCGGGTGGATCACCGTTACAGTCAGACCTCGATTTAACGGCAGTGTTGGGAATTTAAACAATTGAAAATTTGTCCAAAACTATTTGACAGTTTACAATTAAATTTACACTAATAATAAAATATATTTACTTAAATATACAAGACTTATTTGGACTATGTTTTGGGCAAAATTCATCTTCGTTAGATCAAGTTTTTAATTAGTTACGTATCGTTAAATCACATAGCGATAGTCGCTAAATCGAGTTCTGTGTAATCGAAACTAGATTTGGATTTACTATATATATCACTATCGCTATTGCACAATATTTTATTAAATATGAATAACAATACAACAGCACTCCGTGTTTTCCGCTGTTACATAAGATGCACACAATGAACACCTACTCGCAGCTAATTTTTGGTTTATATACGTTTGACTTTTGAAAAGATTTTTTATTCTCCAAAACATCTTTTACATTAAATCCAGGACAAAATGACAAAATCTACGATAAATTTATTATTGATACTACTATTATTAAATTTTTTCTCATCAATAAATGCTCAAACGAGGTAAGTGTATCCATCATATTGCTCATTATTATTTTCTATATTGTTTAATAATAATAATAATACGCTTACAGTTTAAAACCCACTCGGACAACCACAGTACAAGTGACTGTAACTGATCCACCTACCAGTAGTAGTTCTCCCAATAGTAACTCTGGATCAAAAACATCAACAAAATTACTAATCATAATAATTGTGAGTGTTGCTGTAGTTATTCTTGCAGCTGTAACATTCTGGCGTATTTATCGGAAACATAAGCGAAATACACCTGTACCTGCTCCTGCTCCTGCTCCTGTTCCTGCTCCTGCTACTACTCCAGTAATGATACAAAATAATCCACAGCCACCATATCAACCATATTATGGAGAGGGAGGATACATGCCAACACCAGGAACACCAACAAAGCCATTTGTAATTCCATCACCAGGAACACCACCAACAAAGCCACTTGAAATGTCAACACCACCACCACAGTATCAGATGCCACCAAGTCATAGTTTTAGTCCTTCTCCACAACCACCACAAGGTTATTATCCTTCTACACTACCCCAACAGCATCCTTCTAATTATCAAACTTCACCTTATGAAGGACATCAAGAATATGTTCCACCGTCACAACTACCACAACAATTTCAAGGAGGATCACCTTATCAAGGGGGATCACCTTACACCCCTTTACAAGGATCACCTTACCCTCCCTCACAAAGACCACCTTACCCCCCTTTACAATAATGATGCCTTTAAAATTTTCTTCTCTTTCTAATTTATTATTACATAAATAGAAAAATTAGTGTCACATATTTAATTATCATTAACAATGTATTTATCATCCATCATACCATAATAACGGGTTCCAATAATTATTTTGTGCCTAAATAATTTAAGGCAAATGCGACAGCAAAAGTAATAGACAATTATAAAATTTTCGTTTAAGTTGGGGGGGATATGTGGATATGGAATTAGGATAGAATTACGACCATAGTTAGAAGGTTAGTGCTAGTGATAAGATTAATGTTGGCCAAAAGATTCTAAATCCACCAACATCCCATTCCACTTTAACTAATGTTCATATTCTTCTTATATATTCTCTAAAAGATTACGTAGATACGCGTTTCTTTAGTTACGTGTAATATTATTCTTTTACAGACAGAATTTTCAATATTACTACAAATAACAATTATTTAGTTTATTATCAC